AGAAAGAGAGACTAAGTCTAGGAAAACTTGGGTAATAAGAAATTGGGGTGAACTCAAGAAATTGATAGCCCCAATTAAAGAGTCAAATCTAGAGATAGTAAGACCCGACTTGAGCATATATCACTTATTTTGTGCACTACCCATTTGGACTTGAGAAAGACAAATTGCGCAAAATCACTCAAACTACCGAGAGGTATAGACTGGGTAATTCCGTGTGATTGCTATATCAAAACCCCGACTAATCAAACTTGCCATAGAGTTTACAACCCGTTAGGTAACCACTTAGGTAGAAGTCACGACCCTAGATCTTTTATCATTTGAAAAACAACCAAAACAGAAAATATTGTCTCCTAGTTCATATTTGCAATCAATAGCTTAAAGTAGAAGTAAAAACAACAAACAAGAATGTGGAAGTGTAATTTGAGGCACATCATACAATTGCACTAAATATATACCTAATCCCAATTCTAACTCCCTGAGGATTCGACCCCGACTCGCGTTGGGTTTTATTATTGTTTCGACCGCCTCACTACCTGTATTTGTGGTGTGAGTTTGGGCGACATCATCTACCACTTTAGTATAAACACATTTATCCACCTCAATTGCGAAAAAACCGTCTCTCAGTAAGACTTGTTCAAATTTCTCATACCAATGCTTAGGAGCTTGTTTAAGGCCTATAGAGATTTAATTAATTTAAAAACTTTTTTTTTCTTGTCCAGGAATGACACAGCCTTTAGGTTGAACCATATAAATTTCTTCTTCTAAATCAGAGTGAAAGCATTGAATTGTGTACATTTGGGTTTTCTTTGTTGGACCATTTGTATCTATATGCATCAGGATCCCGATTCATGGATCCCTCGGTTCTTTGTTTCTTTATGGAACTGTACTTGATGTGTGGGGTATTGTCACTTTTAACCCGCGCCAGAAACTATTTACATCTAATAGCCGAAAAAATGTATAAAATTTATATAATTTTTGTATATAACATAAAGAATGTATATATATACAAAAAATATATAAATTTTATATATTTTTTCGGCTATTAGTTTACAGCGGCTATACAATGTCATTTTTCCTTGATGTGTCATGCGTACGCTAAAATGGAATTCAAAAATAGCCAGATTTACCACTGGTCGTTGAAAAATAGCCAAGTTTCAAAAGTCATCGAAATTTAGCCACTTTAAATCTGAGCGAAAACACTGTTCAAAATCCGAAAAAATACGTCCGCAAATTTTACGGGAGTTCCAGCATAAGTATGCTTGAACTCCCGTAAATTTTACGGGAGTTCCAGGATAACTATGCTGGAACTCCCGCAAATTTTACGGGAGTTCAAGCATAATTATGCTGAAACTCCCGCAAATTTTACGGGAGTTCCAGCAAGTATAATTGTCCAGTATAATATACTGGAGTTTGGAGCACTGGTGCTCCAGTCTCCCGCAAATTTTACAGGAGTTAGCAAAGTATACCGGTCTAGCATAATATGCTGGAGTTCGTACACAAATGCACCAGAACTCCCGTATATTATACTGGACCGGTCCCTGTTGCAGCAAAATAGTGGCTATTTTTTATTGACTTGATAAACGCTGGCTATTTTTCATTGACCAGTGTGAAAACTGGCTATACCATGATATTTTAACCACCATTAGAAGCCTTTGATTGGTCTGTCCTTGCGGGCCCAATGGTGGAGGCCCAAATTTGATTTGTTGGAGCTCTCACAAACACAGTTCGTTCTTTTATGTATGATTAAAGCCCCGTTTTTGTTTTCAAGACTAAAATCTCCGAATAGGAATACATCTCCGATTATTAAAATATTGTGTCTAAATACTCACTCTGAATAATTTTTTTCTGAACATTTAAATGTGTATAGCTTATCTTTATTTTAAAATTTTAAAATATATGCATATATTTAAATAAATAATAATATAAATCTTAATTTACATGGTATTGTAAAAATTATTTGATGCAAAACCGCTCTAAAAAGCTAGCAATGGTAACAACTGATAATGGTATAGTCTGTCAGTTGATAATAGAGGCGGACCCAAGATTTGAAGATGGGGAGGGCGCACATGAGCGGATTACACAATCAATACCCCCATAAGACTTTCAATATTAAAAGTTTCAAATAAAATTTATAACCGTTTTTAATATATACACACATATAAATATATAATTTTTGCCGAGGCTAGCTAACCGGGTCCGGTGACCCTCTGTTCAATAAATAGGTCCGTTGGTTGGCAGCATTATTAGTAAATTGATGGTTGACGGAAGTGGCTGATAATGCAGTTGTGCAGTGGTGATTGAGTCAAAAATGTCACTTCATGACCATATTATTTAACTATTTGTCTGTAAGCTGATCATAAGTTGCACATCTAACTAGTTCAAAACCGTTTTTGGTAATTCAGAAGATTTAATCTTTTTTTTTTAAAATCCTTTTTTTAACATAGGTGTAAGCGGTGGCGAAGTCACATGGTGTTAAGGGTGGTCAACTAACCACCCTTCGTTGAATAATTGCACTGTATGCATAGGTAAAATATTACGTTTTAGAAGTATATAACACATATTGAACACCCTTTGTAGGAAATTTTTTCCACTTCTTTTAAATTTAAACATCCTTGGAAAAATTCTCAGCTTCGCCATTGGGTATAAGGGGCGGAAGGAAAATTGGAGGAGGGTTTCATCTTGTCAGATAGCCAATTAATTGAGCTACTAAAATTTTCCGATGTAGAAGCGGCTTTTTCCACGGCGGAATCACCATTGACTCTATTTATTATTATGGTAAATCAGTGTATCAAGATGTCAATCTGAGATCTTATTTCGGTTCGATAAGTCCACCTACGAGACTCACCTTTGACTTTCGTCTCGGTAGGTGTATTATCATACAATTTCCCAAAAGAATATTCATTCATTTCTTTCTTCCCGTCGACCATGACGACCGAAACGACGCGAAAAATAATCTTTCCAAAAACTGCTATATAGGTTTAACTTGTCTTACTTTCTAATTACTATTAATTTCACATATTATGGACAGTAACTTACAATTGTTTTTTAGATGATTTGATATGTAATATTTTTAATGCTGTTAGTGTCTTGAAATTAGGTACTCATTGGAAATATGTACAGTAGAAGGTAAGAATTTGAGACTATTTGCTAAGGATACAGATGTAAATGTCTTTGAAAGAGGAGGTCACATAGAAACTTAAAGTGTGGCTTTCCTATTTTATATCTCAATTTTTTCTGGTTTCTTCTTTCAACGTTGTACAATTAATAAAAAATAACAAAAGTCAGATATATGAGTAGGTTCATTCCCTTATTGGACCATGGCATTATAAAGGAACAGATTGTCAAAGAATTTTCAACTTTCAAAAATTGCATCTTCGTTCTTATTAGCCTGCTGCATTGGACCTTTCCCGTTCTTTATTGGAAAAATTACGCGATACAACAAAGATATACATTGTATATAGTATTGGTAGTTATATTTTCACAAAATTACCATTCGCGTCAGGGGAGGAGCCAAGATTTGAAGTTACTGGATTCTGTATTCTAGTTTTTTGAAGTTATTGGGTTCTAAATTAAGAATTTATATATATCAATAGATTTCCTAAGAGAAATACAAAGTTTGGACAAAGTTACTCGGTTCGGCCGAACCCGTAACACGTACATTGGCTTCGTCTCTGTTCGTAGTTATATTTGAATTTTATTACCTGAAAGTACTGAAACAAGAGATCAATTATTTTAAACTAAAACAAGAATGCAACAAGCTCATCTTAGTTGGTTAGACCACTTGCTTAGTAGGTGGAGGTCTTGAGTACGACTCTCGTTGAGAGCATTCTTTTTTCTGTAATTTTGTTCTGAAATACAATTGACATAGGCTGTATTCATTATGCGTCTGAATACAAGTGATACAATCTAGAAACAATTGAATATTAGCTACGAATAATAATTAAACAAACTATAATTATGTATGATAGTTAGGCTCTGAACGATGGTGCTTATGAAAATTCCTCTTCTTTATTTTCTGGTTAGAAAAACCTACGTTCAGATTATCGACAAGACTACTAGCCTGTTTGGCCAAGCTTCTCAAGAGGTCAAAAGTGTTTTTTTTTTCTTTCCCAAAAGCACCTTTTTCCCAAACTTCAGGTGTTTGGTCAAGCTTTTTTGGGGGAAAAAAGTGCTTTCGGGAAGAAGCAGAAGCAGTTTTTGAGAAGCAGCAAAAAGTAGCTTCTTTTCAAAAGTAGAAGCAAAAGCAGTTTTGACTTTTCGTCTTACCAAAAATACCCTTAACAAAATATGGTATATACCAAAATAACCGCTACACCTAATACTTAGGATATTAATGTATAATTATTTCTTCTTATTTTTAGGATAACTTTCTAATATATAGTGAATTTAGGGGTGAATTCTTTTATATTTGTGGAATGATCTTTAATATATTTAACTTATATTAAAAGAATTAAGTACTTTTTAATTTTATTTTCATATTTTACTTGAAAAGATATAATTATTCCTGTAATAACAAATTTTTGAGATTATTTATTTAGTTATATAAGTAACTATTAAGTAAATCTATTCACGTCCTTATTCGTATTTTGATACTTAAAAGCATTTTATGAAAAGCTTGGCCAAACACAAATTATTGCTCAAAAGTTCTTTACAGAGTAATTAGCCAAACACAAACTGTTTCTCTACAAAATTACTTTTTTCAAAAGCACTTTTAAAAAAAGGCATATCTCAAAATAAGCCGATTTCCCCAGCTTGGCTAAACAGGCTAACATCTTAGACCTAAGTCACCTAACTATAGCTACAAAATGTGCAACCTTTACATTATTTAAATTAAGAGGCCTCAAAAGAAGACTGGAAAAAAAAAACTCCTCGCGTCCAAATTTGAATCATGTCATCAAATTGCCGCCCATGTGTTTAATTTGAATTCCAAAAATATACATTAAACAAAATTTTCCCTTCTAGGCTATATATACACGAATTCGCGATAGGTAATTAACCATAATTACATACAATAAGCAGAAATCATTAGATTCTTTAGCCACTAATTAAAATTTTAATTCTAATACCAATTGCCTATTCAAGAATCAAGATCATGGGTGTTGCAACTTTTACTCAAGAACTTACATCCCCTATAACACCAATTCGTTTGTTTAAGGCTTTAATTGTTGACTCCAAATCCCTCATACCAAAACTCTTGCCTCAATTTGTTGAGAGTGTTGATTTATTACAAGGAGATGGTGGAGCTGGAAGTATTGAACAAGTGAACTTCACAAAAGGTTAGTGAATATATTTTTCGGTGTTCGGTTGATGAGGTGAAATATATATATATATATATATATATATATATATATATATATATATATATATATAATAATAATAATAATAATAATAATAATAATTATTATTATTATTATTAAACATGATACATCCTTTGAGATGCGTCCCTTCCTGAACCCCTGTATGAATGCAGGGTGCCTTGTGCACCGGGCTGTCCTTTATATTAGCAAACATGAGAGCGTTACTATGAAACTTTTGAATATTATAGATGAATAAGAAACGTCTATGTATTAATTGTAGCATGTATAATATGAATTTAAAAGCTACGATAGTTGTATAGAAAATAAACTCCACTAATAAATTAGAAAAATCATTTTCTCTTTTGGAAGAAAAATAATTTTCTTTGACAATCAAACACCAGGACGACTTTCTCATAGAAAATATTTTTTTAAAGATGACTTCCGACATATCAAACACACCCGCAAATGAAGCTTAAGGAAAATTCTACCCCCTCCTCATAATCTCTAATCAAATGGTTATATAATAATTTCTCTAGTGACATTTTATAAATAGTGAAAGGAAATCTTGGAGCAACGGTAAAGTTTTTTCCGCGTTACGACTTACAGGTCGTCGTTTCGAGTTGTGGAAGCAGTCGCTAATACCTGCATTAGAGTAGATTGTCTATATCACAGCCCTTGAGGTGCGGTCCTTTCTGGGAACCTACGTGAATGCATGATGTTTTGTATACCGGGCTTCCCTTTTTGCTCACATTTTATAATAGTGCTCAATTTGGTTTAATTTGCAGGTAGTGCTTTTGAGTTTGTGAAACATAGAATAGATGAACTAGATAAAGAAAATATGGTGTGCAAATACACTATGATTGAAGGGGATGCATTGGGAGATAAGCTTGACTCTATTTCTTATGAAGTAAAATTTGAAGAGTCCAATAATGGTGGCTGCATTTGCAAGATGACAACTAAGTATATTGGAATTGGTGATTTTATTGTCAAAGAAGAAGATATCAAGGCTTGGAAAGATAGTGCAATTGGCATATATAAAGCTGTGGAATCTCACCTCCTTCAAAATCCAAACCTTTATGCTTAAATTGCTTCGTGTTAAAATGAAGCCTATGACTATGATCCTTCTTTCTTTAATAAAAATAAAGAAACATTTTATTGTTAAAGATATATAGCAGTCCAAAAATCATCCCTATAGTTTTACCAGAGGGTCACATAAGAAGCAAAATTCTGTTAGAAGTGGATGGAAAATTTAATAGAGGGATGCTTTTGGTTAAGTTTTGGGAACTTAAGGGATGAATTTTGTTAAGTGGAATATTAAAAGGATGTATTAAAAGTTGAGATGACACTATAAGGATAATTTTGGTCAAAAACTCTAACAAATTGTATCCAATGGATGTGCATTTAATGTTTAATGCTTATTTCAACATTGATTAATATCAACGTGGCTGTACTTTTGTGTTTCGATCGGGAAGTATTATAACAAGAACATGTTCAATAGTAACGCCTAAATTAGTTCATTTTCTTTTGTGGGTAACTAACATAATTTAATTAATCACCAAGAAACATTTACAAAATCATAGCTAAGCTCACACCGCTAGCTATCTAATCAAATAACTAAAAGAGACTACACACAACTCCCAACTAAGCTTGGACAACTATCTACTAGTGAAATGACAAAAGGACAATACAAATATACTCAAAATTGGAGGCTATGCAGGTAGGTCATGGTTTCGGGTGGTAGTTGAGCACGACAAGTATAAGCAATCTCCTTTGCAATATGTTCCCATTGTCTGCTTCTTTGTTCAAAAATTCTGAGATTTCGTTCAGTCCAATATGATACACAGCTTCTGCATATACCAACTTGAACACTTGTGCCTGCTGAGATTTCCCTTTAGAGCATGTGATGATCCACTGGTTATATGTTGCTGCCAATCTAAGGCTCTTGGGCATTGTAATTGCAACTATTGATACATCTTACTCCAAACATTTCTTGTGTACTAACACTTCATAAACTAATGTTCTCTATTCTCCTCCCGCAACTGGCAAAGTACACATTGTGTATCCACATTTGGTTCCCATTTGCACAGCCTATCAGAGGTCAACAACTTTCTATGCATCATGAGCCAAATTGTGATTTTTGCTTTTGGTCGTGTTGCATTTCTAAACAATAAACTTTTCCATTCCACTCGAGTGTAATCACCAAGGAGAGTTAGATATATTTGCCTGTTTAAGCTTTTCTTGTGTGACTACATATAGTGTTGATTCTCTAGTACTTCCCCGGCCTCAAAAAAATTTCCTAACCATCCAACAATCTTGTTGTGGGATTGTTCAGTTGGTGAACTGCTGTCCTTTGATATAGTATGTGTGAATCCATCGAATCCACAATTTTTCCTGTTTATGTGCCAAATCCCAGCAAGTTTTGGCTATTGCTACTCGAGTCCAAAGCCTCAAGTTGGTGAGATTGAGTCCAGCCCCAACTTTGGGCATACAGATCCTATCCCATGCAACCAATGTTTTTTTTTTTTGTGATAACATTGACACTTGACCAGATATATGATTTGCATATTCCTTCAATCGACTTAATCATCTTGGTAGGTATCACAAATAGCTGTGCCCAAAGAGCTTGATACCAAACACCATACTCTGAATTAACTGCACCCTACCTGCATAGGACAGTGTCTTTGAAGTCCAAGAGGTGATCCTTGCAGTCATTTTATCTATGAGAGATTGTCACGGGAGGATATTGAGCTTCTTTGTAGACAATGGAACTCCAAGATACTTGAAGGGCAAGCCTCTAGTAGTGAATTCTAAGTGCTGCAATATCTATTGCCTATGCTCTGAAGGGAGTCCACCAAAATAAACTTCACTCTTGTTCACGAGCCTGCAGTCCAGAAACCTGAGTAAATTGCAAGAACTTCTGCTGTATTGCCAAAAAAACAGTAGATCATCAACAAAGCTAAGGTGTGTTATCCAAGCTTGGCACACCTAAGGTGGTACTTGAATTCTTTAACTGTCTTGAGACCATTAAGATTTCTTTTCAGGTACTCCATTACTATAGCAAATAAGAAAGGTGACATTGGGTCTCCTTGTATTAATTCCTTAGCAACATTAAAGGGAGTTGTTGGCTCCCCATTAACTATGATGGAGTAGTTAACAATTTGAATACATTCTATCACTCATGAGGTAAATATTTGAGGAAGCTCCAACTCTTTCATGACTTGTCTCATATATGACCATTCCACAGAATCATATGCTTTCTGAAGGTCTATCTTAATCATGCATCGAGGTGAGGGATATTTTCTAGCATAAGCCTTCACTAGTACATGTCACGATCCGAAATTCCCACTATCGGGACCGTGATGGCGCCTAACATTTCACTTGCTAGGCAAGCCAACGTTAGAGATCATAAAACCAATTCTTAAACCTTTCAGTGATTAACAACAATTAAACCATAACAAGTTGAAAAGAGTGCGAAAATCCATAACAGTCTTAATATATAAAGCTACCCCAAATCTAGAGTCACAATCCACAAACTTCTAAGATTTAACTACAACAAATGTCTGAAGGAAATACAACTATTTGCGATACAAAAGAAACATTAAAGTGAATGTATGGAAGGGGATGCCAGGGCCTGCGGGCACCAACATGTCTACCTTGGGTCTCCGATCAGATGAAGCCAGCAGCTAGACTCAGGATCAACTTGGACCGGTACCGAAATCTGCACAGAAAGTGCAGAGTGCAGTATCAGTTCAACCGATCCCATGTACTGGTAAGTAGTGACGAGGATATGACAAGACACATACATAAACCTGTGCAATTAAACAATATATGAGCATAATAACAACTAATAGAAGCTAAACAGATAATAACGGGAGGGGGAAAACATGCTGAGGGGAGTACAAGATCATGAAAATGGTAACAGTAAGGAAACACAACAAACAACATGCTCGACACTAATGGAAATATGAAATATAGCAAAAACAAGTGCACGGCATCACCCTTTGTGTTTTTAATGAATATATAATGGCACAACATCACCTTTCGTGCTTTACACTCTTTCTCAGATGATAATGAATATGAAATGGAATGGCATCACCCTTCGTGCTTTACACTCTTCCTCACATGATAATGAATATAAAATGGCACGGCATCACCCTTCATGATTTAAACTCTTCCTCACATGATAATGAATATAAAATGGCACGGTATCACCCTTCGTGCTTTACACTCTGCCTCACCAAAACAAGAACAATAACAACGGGGAGATAGAATTATCAATAACAAGTCTCACTTCAACATTTAGTTCCACAATGACAACCTCAACTTTGAATCAACACTCAATCAATATCAAATTCCATAAAACATGATAAGAGTTGCTCAACATAAAGAATGACTAGTCTAAGCATGAACAATATGAATAAAGAATACAACGATTACAACAATAAGACTCACTTGCATGCTATGACTCGACAACAACGGATAGGTACTCGTCACCTCACCTATACGTTGTACTCAACAACCAAACACGTAGCAAATAGGCGACAATACCTAATCCCTCAAGCCAAGGTTAGACACAACACTTACCTCGCTCCAACGGCCAACTCAAAGCTCAATCACCACTTTCCCTTCACAAAAGTCTCAGGACCAATAGAATCTAGCAAATTACCAGCCAAACAATACAATTTAAGCCTTAGGACTACCCACGATTGTAAGGAATTCAATCTAGGCCATTTTTAAAAAAGTTAACACCCGGGCCCGCTTGGTCCAAACCAAAATTCGGACCAAAACCCGATTACCCATTCACCCCCGAGCCCGGATATAGTATTGGTTTTGGGATTTGACCTTAATTTGTGGTCTAAATCCCCAAATTTTGAAATCCCTAGTTTCTACCCAAAAATCCACAATTCTACCATGAAAATCTTAGATTCTAGGTTGAAATCTTGTAAAATAAAGTGAAAGATTGAAAGAAACTAGTTTAGAATCACTTACCTATGATTTCGGGAAGAAATAGTCTTTGGAAAATTGTCTCTTGTGTTTTATTTTTGAAAATTTGAAGAATGGATGAAAAATCCCGTCTAAGTCCCTTATACACAGCTACAGATGTCGCATTTGCGACCTGAGCTTCGCAATTGCGAAGCTCGCAAATACGAGAAAACCATCGCATTTGCGAGGTCTCACACACTCCTGCTTCCTTCGCAAAAGCGAAGAAATGCCCGCAATTGCGAGCTGATCTGATCGCAAATGCGATCAGTTGGTCGCAAATGCGATCAATTAGTTGCAAATGCGAAGTCTACCTTCCCCCCATGTCCCTATCGCAAATGCGAAGGATTGTTCGCATTTGCGAACTTAGGCTGGCCCATCTTCTCTTCGCATTTGTGATGAGAAGCTCGCAAATGCAAACCAAACAGTAGCTGCAAATGCGAAGCTTGACCTCGCATTTGCGAGGTCTGAGGCCTGCTACAAGACTGAAGAACACCAGCAGTTTTTCTAAGTTTCAAATAACTCCGTGGCCTATCCGAAACTCACCCGAGCCCTTGGGGGCTCCAAACCAAACATGGACACAAGTCAAAAACATCATACGAACTTCCTCGCGCGATCAAATTGCCAAAATAACACCTAGAACTACGAATTTAGCACCAAATCACATGAGTTTCCCAAGAACACTCCAAAATTCCTATTTTCACAACCGGACGCTTGAATCACGTCAAAATAACTCCATTTCTCACCAAATTTCACAGACATGACTTAAATATTATATTGAATCTGTAGTGGGCTCTGGAACCAAAAATACGGACCCGATACCAACAAAATCAAACATTAACAATCTCTTAAAAATTATTAAATTTTCAGACTTACAATTTTTAACAAAAATTATAACTCGGGCTAGGGACCTCCGAATCCGATTCTGGGCATACGCCTAGGTCCTATATTTCGATACGGACCCACCGGAACTGTCAAAACACGAGTCCGGGTCCGTTCATGTTGATACCCAATTTTTTCCTATAATATTTTCAAAGTACATATATACCTTCAAAACAATACATTAGCATCAACTATTATTCTCCATAATTTCTGCATTTTTAAAGGATTTTTATTAATTCATCCCAATATTTTAATTATATAAATAATTACTGATTGCATCACAAATGATTTTATGACATTTTTATGACTTAATTTTATTATTTATATTTATACTAAGCCTAATTATTTCATAAATAGCCGCATTTTCATTTTTGATATTAACTTTGCAATAATAGCCCATGCATGCTTTATTACATTATTTCACCAGAAAATAGCTTTTTATATATTTTTATAATATTGAGTAATTATTTTAAATTATTTTATGCCCGGAAATCATTTTTATAATCTGCTAATTATTTTTACAAATTATTTTCACTAATTAATTAGGTATTTAACAAATAACCATTTTAATTCCGTTTTAATTCAATTACACCAGCCCAA